GCCATTCCCGTGCCATCCGGACGAATAGCGCGAATGCGCATGCGCGGGCAGTGGTGACCAGCTGATCAGCTCGAGTGGTCTGCGCGTGACGTAACGGCTCTGAATGCCACTCGTTAGCCGGTACTGTTGCTTTCTACTTCACATAATTGGCCAGGGACCACTGGGAGCGCGCTTGTCAGCTGGGCTCAGCCTCGGGCGGTGTCAGGCGCGCGCCAGTCGGGCTCAGTACGAGTGACGAGCGCCTCTCGGTGTCAGTCTGAGCGAGGAGTGCCTGTCGGTCTCAGTCTGAGCGAGAGGCGCCTCTGTGTCAGTCTAGGGGAGAAGCGGCGACGAGAAAAAGCCTTGTACCTCTTTGGAGGGACCTTCATCCTCGAGTGTTTGTCTGGGCTTAAAGCTACCAAACAATCTACCCAAAAAAGGCACCGAGAGCGGTGACAAAATGCACATGTTTTGGAGAGACCTGTCCCCCTCGCCTCAAGCTCACCATTTATTTTTATTATGCCGCACTCAGCAGTCGATCTCAGTGCGAGAACAGCGCCTGTCGACCGCTGGCTTGTGCGGGCGTCTGTCAGTCCCTCTCAGCCTGGCTGGGGAGCGCCCGTCTGTCTCAGGCTTTGATGGAGCGCTCGCCGGTCTCCGCCTGAGCGTGGGGCGTCTGCGACGGCGGGCTCCGGGCCGGACCGGTGTGACCTGGGCCCCGCTGCCGGCGGCGCAGTCGAGTGTCGCGGCGTGTCTGTTAGCCTCCGGCTCGGCGTGTTCTCGTACCGCGGCTCTGAGGTCGCCCGGGACGGCGGGCGAGCCACCGGCGTCGCCTGAATAGCCCGGCGGCGTGCCGACACCACCGGCGTCGCCTGAATAGCCCGACGGCGTGCCGACACCACCGGCGTCGGATGGCCGCGGCGTGGTCTCGGTGCTGCGGCTGGGATCGGCTGCAGTAGGGGGTGAGGCCACGGTGCCGGCGAAACTTCCGAGGGTTAGGTGGGGCCGTCGCTGTTAACTCGGCCTGCAACTCGGCGCCTGGGAACGGTGCGCTTGCGTTTAACCGTGCAATTGCAACATTCGTTCACATTTACCGCTCGGGGCATGAGGAATGCTATGCATAGCAGTGCCAGTTAGTTGTGTTGAAAGAAGAAGGTCTGCCTGAGAGAAATTTTGATCACGGTTGGTATTTGTTTCAGAAAGTCACCATGCGGACCAACCCAGACTCGCCCCGCATACATTTCTACCAGAAGCAAGGTACGTGCATTAACCAGATAACGTCAGAAACCTCACGATGTTTCTGTTTGAAAATGCGCGGTGAAAATCATCAACAAAAGGCAAGGAGAATGCATGACAAAATAACGAGACGAGTCAGATCACATGCAGCAACACATGCATGCATGTTTTCTGCTCGACATGGCTGTTTCGTCTTTCTCTCCCATTTTTAAAATGTGTCTACGCGTGGATGCCATTTCGGCTGAATAGAACTTCCCGGGAACCCCGTCAATGTCCGAGTTTCACCCTTATGTCCAACGTAATTGAAATGGACCATTAGTTCTTTTGCGCTTGCGTCGTAGAATAATAGGAAATGGGAATCACATCTCCTCGCTGTTCATGAACCGTGTGGTGCGACAGTTCACATTTCCACCATGTTCAACTCCATTTCCCAACACAACTCACTACATGCACCTTCCCGTGTTGGCGCCTTGACATTCAATGGCAAACCCTGCATCATATTTCTTACCACACCTCTTCGTGACCTCGACTAAGGGCCGGCGTCAGATGACGCTCCGCTGCACCTAAGGCCAGGGCTATTATGGCCGCGCCGAGCTGTCGCGTACAAGTGGAGTTGGGAAAGGGGCGTCCACAAGAGGTCACCAGCCGACAAGAGGCAGTCAGACCGCGACAGGTGACAACCCGTGGCCGACTGTCGCACCAGGTGAACGGTGTTAACCTCTCGTTAACGTCTGGTCCGAGAGTGGTCCCCGGCGGTCCCTCGCAGGCGCCTGCCACTTCGTTGGACGCCCGCTGGCCCAGCCAAGTCTGAGCTTCCCAGCCTGCTGGCGTTGTGACGAGTCGTAGCCAGATGAGGCGGCTCATAAGAGCCCGTGACGATCTGCCGAACAACGGTCGAAATAATCGACCGAGGCCAGCTCCATTTGTCATCAGTCCAGCCCGCTCTGAACCTGACACGACGCCCGTGACGTTACTCCTTCGCGCCACTCACGCCGACCCCGCGTCACGGCCGTCCAGTGCGGCACGGCCGCGACCTCACGCGCCGACCGTGGGGCGACAGCGTCGAGACGCGCCGCCGTCCACCATCTGCCGTCGTGACGTAAGGCGTGCCGTTTCAACACGGTGTCGGCGTAGCGGCCGGTGCGTTGTCGCGCGCGCCATTAGCAGGCTGTGGGGGACGCGGCGACGCGGACAGTACGGCCGAGCCCCCACTGTCGATTACCTCATGATCGGCGTCAATTGTCCGGGCGCGGAGGGGAAGTCATCATCTCCCGCGCGACCGCGCCGGCCCGACAGATCAAGACCGTCCAGGCGTTGAGGAGCATAGTGAGTGAAAGTGCCGCGGGCGGTGCGGCCTTGCGGCCCGCCGCGGACGCAGCGCGAGGCGGGCAGTTCGGTGGGAGGCGGTGTGCGGTGAGGTCGGCCGAGCGGCGGTGCTCTTACACAGGTGCCATGAGCGCGCTTGCCGGCCAGACACGTAAGTGAGCCGCAGCACGGGGCGACGTGGGAGGGAAAGTTCACCGGCACCCAGTCGCAACGACGGCTTGTGACCGCTGAACTGTCGCCTTTTGTGGGAACGCCATGCTCCGCTGTGCTGATGGATTTGGAACGGTGCACGGGAACATTGCACAGCACTTAACTTTCCTGTTAAGGTCATCCCAAAAACACCATCAACATTATGAATTTCAAGGGCAATCCGTTTTTTTATTAACGCCAATTGATGCCGCTGAGCGTAGCTCACCGGCAGTCGATAAAAGATGGTTTTACGCTAGAGGTACGACGCAAATGCCCCTGCTGACCATAGTCCTTACAAGCTACTGGCGCACTATCTGCTTGATTATGCGGACGATCCGTCTCTGCCCATCCAACGGCCCAATTGCCGGCAGGCGTTTAGCTATTGATGAGCTTCCGTGAGCCCTGTGTGGAAGCTTGGACAGGTCTGCGACGACATCGAGACTATTTCAACTAACTCCATATTGGTGGTTTTTCGTTAGACCCAGCCGACTGATCTCGTAGCAAAGATGCATGCTTCTCTGTGATGGTGAAGATTACGTAAAGGCAATAATGTCCTGAGAAAGGCAATGAGAAAGGAGAGGAAAGAAAGATCAGGTATCTGAACGTCAGAAAGGCCAGTTAGAACACACCAGTTTATTTGAGGGAAAATACAATGCAATGTAGACAAACTTTGATCGTCGATATTCACCAAACCGTTAACATGGTCAATTCGGTTATTAGCGGTTTATCGCCGAACGGCGATGACTGGAGCACAGTGCGTTCCAGCAGCTGTCTGTGGTCAGTGGTGTATCAGTGGTCTAGGCGCCGATAGTCTGATTCGTCCTAGGACAGTCCGTTCCAGCAGCGTGGTCTGTCGACTCGCTGTAGGGCAGCCCATTCCAACAGCCTTGTCTGTCGACTCGCTATAAGACAGTCCGTTCCAGCAGCCTGGTCTGTTGACTCGCTGTTGAGCAGCCCGTTCCATCAGCCTGGTTTGTTGACTCGCTGTAGAACAGCCCGTTCCAGCAGACAGGTCTGTCGACTTGCTGTAGGGCAGTCAGTTCCATCAGCCTGTTCGGTCAACTCGCTGTAAAACAGTCCGTTCCATCAGCCTGCTCGGTAGACCATGCCGGAGAACGCTCCGTCAGCCTGTTCGGTCGACTTTGCCGGAGAACGTTCCATCAGCGTGTTCGGTGGACTATGCCGGAGAACGTTCCATCAGCCTGGCTGGCACGCGTCACCTGTCTGGAGCGGCCCGACGTCGCGACTTCAGCCGTCCGGCTCGCCGCCTAAACCCTAAAATGGGCACGCTGTCTCCGTTTCCTCCTCACGTGGATCAAACAAACTCAGTATGCATATCGCATGAATTCTGAAGGCGTGCCGGTGACAATAATCGGTATTCCGCCCCCCTAAACGACCATATATGTCATGTCATGCAAGGCGCCAGTCGGTAAGCGCGTTGGCTAAACATGGACATGAGTTCCGGGGGCCCACCCGTGGCGGCGTGTATAGGTGTCCGGAACCCCTTTACATGGGCTCACCCAATGGCGCGTGTGGGTGCACGGAACCTCTATACATGGGCTCACCCAACAGCAAAAAAAAATCACGCAAAATTTGAGCACTGGCACTATGTCGTTGCATGGTATAAAATTGGTTCAGAGTTGTTGAAAAGGCGTCTCTGTCCCAAAAACCTTGACAAGGTTCCCGCTCTTTCCGTGCGGAGCTCGCGCCTCTGGAGGATGATACGGGCTACTATGCCAAACGTGTTGCAAGGTATTGGCAAAACTGGGCATTATGATGTTGTGCGGTTCATGCCGAATAAGTTCTTCACATTGTCTGACTGACCCCGCCTCGGCCTATGCCATCGGACATGGGCGGACGTTTAACACGGATGACGTCATGGGTCGGGCGGCGCCGCCACCGCCCCAACTGGCGCCGCGGGGCACGCTGGGGAGCCGACGGCGAGGGGAACCGCCGATGACGTCACCGAATCGATGGGATGGTCGTCGCCCCCTCGGCGTGTTTTCAGCGGCCGTCGGCAGGGGACGGTCTGTTGCAGACGGCCTTATCTCGATCAGACGGCGGCCGCGAATGCCGTGCGCCTCTCAGTGGCGCCTGGGCTGCGGGGAGGAAGGCAGTCACGCCTGCCGTGGTCGACGCCGTCGTCCCGCGGGCCCTCCCATCACAGTCGGTGGACGTCGACAGGTGCGTGCGCCAGGGTGGCGGGTGTGCGCTGCTGGCGAGGGCGGCTGGCGTCGGCGCCGGCGGGGCGGGCGGTCGGGCGGGCTGGACCTGGGGTCCTGGTGGGACGCCGCGGCGACCTGTGCGCGCGCAGCGAGCTTTGAGCGCGGCGGGGGCAGGAGCGTGGCCCCAGTCACCGCCGGCGAGCGCGATGGAGAGGGCGGAGGTCACAGAAGAGGACGGCCCGCGGACCATGGAGGACAGGAAGGGTCTGCTGCAGGAGCTTCTCAGCAGGAAGAGCGAAGGCTCGCCACTGGCCGAGCGCGACTCGGAAGAACAGGGACAAAGCGACGACACCGGTTGTCAGGAAGGCGCGGAGAATGGCGGTAAGGAAGGTCCTTGGATTTTGGCAGATTTGGTGTGGAGTGAATGTTGGGTGGTGTTGAATGTTGAATGATCATCGGTTGGGCTGTGTTCGGCGCACGATCATAGGCAGGTCTTACTGCACGTGTCCTGAAACCATTACTCAACGTCGAACAAACAAGTTCATGGGGTAATTTTGCCTCCGACTCGCGACGTACAGCGCCACAGCACAGCCGCCCCGACCCAGGCCGCAAGCTGACTTTTCATGCTGTTTGAGGTGACCAATGCGACTCTTTAGGCATTCTTGTTCAGCGTCACCAGATCACGAGTCCAGCGTCTTTTCCCAGGCCACCTGACTGGCGCGTGGCGTGCTAGTGAGCCGGCGCCACGCCACTTGTAGAGGGAAATGCTGCACGGAAATGGTCATGCCAACCATGCGTTGTGTAGCATGTCGTCTGGTCTCAATTGTTCAACTGTATGCGGGCAAACGCGTCAGGGATGCTTCTCATGACGTCATCGCCTCAGAATACACACGGCTTTCCTTGCTCACTGTTTTTGCAGGTTTATCGGCCCACTGGTAAGAGGCATATGCATTGCTCATGCTTTATCTTTTATTAGTCTATCTGCATGGCACTTAACATGAAGACACACAAAGGCGTTTTTTTGTTTGAAACCTGAAATTCAAAACGTGAGAACCATTTGAAATCCTTTTCGGTATACGATGTCGGTCGATGAGTTTCGGTATACGATGTCATCTCATCCCTTTGAAAACCTTTACAATGGTAAATGAGAGGACTTCTCAAGTCTTCTCAGAATGTTTCTGTCCCAGCCGCGTCGTGCTCGGTGGTAAAATATCGTCGATGTACCTACATCAAAAAGCAAATATTTTGTACCGATGCCACTAGTCATTCCCAAGATCTACCTCGACCATTTGCGCGCAAAACAAATATTTTGCTGCAAACAGCGCCTTACTCAGAGAGCATGATTTACATCTGCTTTTTTAGCCCACTGTTAGATGGGCTAAACAGACATTAACGTTCCTCTCGTTTGCTGAGCTTAATCCGACGATGTCCACCTGTTCTTATCTCACACAACCTGTTGCCGATTACATTCTAATCTTGCGGATAGAGTTATGCCGATGGCAACCACAGCTTTCATGGCTTAAATGGCGAGGTACACAGCATCACCCGGCTGATAAAGATCCTATCTGCACGTTATCTGCTCTCATCTCATCCCCACGTGCATGGTGGTGGCAGAGAACGTGGACTCAATCCCCCTTCTATGTAAACGCCTCCGCAGCCGCCCGTGCTGGCTCCTTTATCCCATGGCTCAGCCGTATTGGCGGAGCAGGGAGGCCACAGCAGGCTGACTGAAAAACTCGTTGAGTGATCGAACCGAACTATGTAATTACGTAACTATGCAAGAGGCGGCGCGGCGGCTCCGTCACTGCCAGCGTCGCCCGCTGGCGCGCACTCACGCCGCAATGAAGGCGGTGGCGTCTTGAGACGTGAGGCGTATCACAGCGCGCGGTTTCTTTCGTGACGTGAGACATATGAGAGCTCTCGGTTTCTTTAGTGACGTGAGGCATGTCAGAGCTCTCGGTTTCCTTAATAATGTGATGCATATTAGAGCTCTCGGTTTCCTTAGTGATGTGAGGCATATCAGAGAGATAAATCTTATTGCATGGAACAGGCTGAGGTTTCTGGTAGTTGCGATCTGTTCCTTTTATCGTTTAAGCGGATGTAAGATAGTTCATTACGTCAAAATACATAACATTCTCCTGGTTCATGTGACGTCTTTCCTTTCGTCAAGAGCTCCCTTCCTATGCAATACTAACGAAATGTTTTGACTTTTAGTCGACTCTGTGGGAGGGAAAGCGTAAGAATTGCGCCATCGATTTTGACGAAGTTCTATGTCATAACGTTAAGGTTGAAACAAAAACACCCAAGTGCCAGTATCTCCACTGTGCGAATTAACTGAGGCTGTTAAGTTGTCTTTGGGAGGTCGTGTTTCTCCTTGTTTTGGGGGAGATAAATCGATGAGCTTATGCCGGTGCAATATTTCTAATGATTCGAGCATTCAATAGCGCTCGGAGCTGACAACCATAGGCGTGCCACTCGTGGCAGCTCAAGCCCCTGGCCAATTCCATGGCGAGCAACAGTCTCATTATCGGTACGCACCCAATGAGTATCACCACGGGTGATCTGTTTGCGGCCAGGGTAACAAGCGATTCTGAAGGCGATGGCTGGACTCCGAGATATGTGATGATGTTGAACCCCTGTCCTCTCTATACCAGGGGACAGGCCTCGTGCTCGTGCGCTATCGGTGCCATAACCAACGATGAGACAGTGACCAGTTCCGAAATGGCCCCATTGTCTGGAGTCCGGACGTTTGAAACGCTTCTGCGGACCGTCTTGCGAAGCTGTCCGACCACTCTGCCAGCCAATGTGGACGGAAGGAAGCCCGGCTTTGAGTACAGCAGCCAATGCGCTATCTCGGGACGCCGACGCAGGCAACGGCCGGACTAACGAGAGGGCGCTGGAACTGCGCCGCTCTTTTATGGCTGGCTCAGTTCTATCCTGTGTTGTGTTTTCTGATCTGAATCGGTTTTAGATTGACGATTGTCTAGAGCTATTCAAGCACACTAGTTTTATGTCATCCTGAGACGGCATTTCGGGGACGCATAAGATGGATGCATTGCAGTCAAAGGAAATAAGGTATTGCCGACCAGAGAATTACACCGGCTTAATAAGCAAGCATGTCTAAATTGGGCGAATCTAAGTAGTGTTCAGCTCTATTTTACCAGGAAAGAACACCCAATTCTGACTGTAGGGAGTGGTGCTCCAACCAGTCCAGAAAAACTAAATATTATTGTCTTTTAGACTCACCCTTGCCTCTAACATCACAGACAAAAACACAGAACAGCACCACCATTTACTCTCCCCACATAAGGCCCACGCTTTTGGCCTACAAGCCAACACTGCTCAGAAAAATTTCGGCGCTGGCAGAAAACTCTAAGAAAAACATGCATATGGAATGGATCATGAAAGTGACCAAAACTTTGTACTTCTTTACGCCAAACAGGTTTTTTGAGCAGACGAAATTCTTTTAAACGGGATGCTTCATGTAATGTTTTTATGCTGACCATTGTCGACCTTTGGCGAATCAAGAGATACTAGTTGAACGATGCTATCAAACAAACATTGGTTAATTAGTCAATATTAGCAATGTTTCCTGGATGATGTATAATCGCACCCCTTATCTTATTGAAAGTTGGTAACTGGCAGTATGAAAATTCCAAGTTAATAACGCCGAAAAACCGGGGGCAACACTTAATTAGACCAAGTAGTGTTTCTCCTCGTTAGCTATTTAGCAAGATATATAATACAGTTAGCATGGTAGTAAAGGAACAAGGTAGTCAATATTGGGCATCTTAAATTTTTACCAGTTGTTTTCCCATGTCACGCATCCGGGCGCTGACAAAGGTGTTACAGTCCGCAGGGGCTGCTAAAGAACAAAATTATCCCCCTTCCCGTCCTCGAATCAGCCCACGAAACCATGGATTACGGGTCCTTTTAAAGATAGTTGTATTTGACAAAAGGTAACCGTGAGCTATGCCCAAGAATAGTTTCATAGGTTAGTAATTTCGATGTTGTTTATATAATGTATTATTTAGCGGCGGGTGCAGTTTCGCAACATAGTTGGCGGGTTGAACAGGAAACAATATTTAAACCAACCCACAAAATAAGCTTGATGGTGAGGTTTTCCCTCCTGGATTTCATCCACTTGACGCTTAAAACTGGAGGGTTAGAGGTCCTCCTGCCGAAAAGGGAACTATATCCTTGTTTTGCACTAAAAAACGGTATTACCACACACCCAATGCAATCCAGTTGGGATACGGCGGAAACCTTTAGCAAAATGCGTGTATGTACGTATCCTAAAATATGGTAGGGTCAGGTAAGGTCGAACAAAGTCAAATTCCAGATTGGCCTGCAAACGTCCCTTTGAACCTAGATAACTGTCTAAGCAAAATGCAACATGCTCGTTTAAGGTCAGTGACCTTGCTTGACGTTTTGAAGGTCTTGGTGACCAAAAACGTGCAAGACTGCATTGAGTTTTGCATTTAAATAAGCAACAAAGATTGCGTTAGACAGTATGTTCGTAAAAACAGCATGTTGATCTGGCGCATTTTAGGGCGGTGACCTATTCTCACGTTTACGAAGTCCATGGAAGGTTCATAATACGATTCTTGTTATCAATAAATTTGAAATGAGCACCAGTAACTACCTCTATAGCAAGCCCTAGAGTAATAAACCAGGTTGGTGTTGACCTTGGACTGACCTTCATACCTGACTCTAGATCAATTTAGTTTGTTCATTCAATTGTTGTGTTGACTACGAAGGTATCTTAGAGATGTATGGCTTCATCTAACACTCTGCTGTTGGATCAGATTAACCGATTCCTAAGAAATTGCCTTCGCTCAAACCATGGCCTGACTTTGACCTGCCATAGACCAGCGACCTTACCAGATACATCTGAATGTTTGATACCAGACGATGCACTATTCAATTGTCTACAGCCATGCAAAATTTGGAGCGGTTACGCCGCACTGTTGGGAAACCATTCCGGAAAACCACCCACCCGGGCGTGTTAAGGAGGGTGTTCCATATTTGTATGACGTTTTGAACTGAAATATCGATCTTGAAGACCTTTTAGTATTATTCACAATCCTGCCCTTCTCAAAGCCTAAGCCCCTCTAGTTCCTAAGCTAAACGCCCGCGAAAACGGGGAAAGGTATATCGGGTGAGTGTTTCAGTCACCTTGGTATTCATGACGTCATAATAACATCATTCAATCATAGCTAGTGTTCGTGAGCGCGATTTCCATATGCGACCGACGCCAATTGGCCCTTAATCAACATTGTGCAAGGTATGATAACGTAATCTTACCATAGCGCATTGAAAGGTACATTTACCAAAGAGAGAACGGTACTGTTTAAAGCAGTCCTTTCCATTTCAAAAAC